TATATATATTTTTTATATTTCCCATACAATTCTTAATATTTCTGTTAAGAGCGATCAAATCATATTCATCAGAATATCACAAATTCGACATTTGAAATTTGCTGTTAGCTTTTGTAATAAATAAACAAAATAAATGATCAAATGATAAAATGATCATTAAAATTTACAAACGTCTACAGAAGAACAACAATGCAGAGCTCATTTTATGTATGTCGGACACTATCGACTAATGCAATTACACTTGCTAGAACCTATTTATCACCTTATTTAAATATATATTTTCAGGTGGCACCCCAATGTCAGAAAACCACAAGGCTGAAACGGCATATTTCCCCGCGATCATACGCAAACAATTCATAAATATGTATATAGATATATCCAATTAGATATAATAAATTAAACGCATCCAAATAATTGTAATATTTATATAAATAATCCAAAATGCTGTTAGATATAGCGAAAATTATGTGCAATAAAATAAAAATGGAATAAACTAAAGAACCGCATTTATTAATTTCAAAAGGTTCTACTTTACAGGGAATTTTTGTTTAAATATCAACGGTGAAAATTAAACGCATTACATAAATTCGTTGCATACTTTAGGGGGCGACCGTTTTAGCCGATAGAAGGAAAATGACAAATTTTTACTAAAAATGCAGCAGAATTACCAGGCGAACAGAAATGATTAGCAGGGTGAAAAATGTTAATTAACAGTACACTAACAGAAAAATGTTAAGTTAACAGAATTCTGTTAGACCACTGTTAAGTTAACAGAATTCTGTTAGACCACTGTTAAGTTAACATAATTCTGTTATTCCACTGTTAAGTTAACATAGTTCTGTTAATGTAATGTTAAGTTAACAGTTGATTAACAGTGCACTGTTAACTAACATTTTTGGCCCTACTGCCTATTTCTGTTCGCCTGGTACTTACGTCTTATTTACGTTCAAAATTGAGTTTTAACGGCTACGTGAGGCTATGCGGAGTGTTTTTTTCTCTGTAATGTAAATGTACAGCGCTCTGTTAAGCAACCATATCAAATACTTTTCGGTTATGATCAACGGAAATTCAAACCTTATATATAAAAAAATCCCAGGAAACCCAGCTGAAAATGATATCAAACATAATTGGGCCATTTCAATGCGCATTTCGCAATGATTTAGACCTATTAGGTTCTTTAGGACTATATCAGAGGTATAGGAAGACCAAAGATATATGTGAGTCAACTATGAACCATTGCTAGAAAAGGGGCATGGGGCAGCTGAAAGAAAAATCATACATAATCATTTGATCATTTTGCTGCTCATATTGCACGAACATGAGCATATTGGTTCATCAGGACTATATCTATGGCATGGCTAAAGCCAAGGATATGTTGGTCAACTGAAAACCTAATTTTGCTGAAAAACATAAAATACGCCATGAAATATATAACTTAATGCTTAAGGTTATATAAATATATAAAATATCGACTGCTATATTTACTATCTGAATTTTATTCAAGACTAATAAGTTCATTTTACTGAATTGAAATATGAAAATAATAATATTAAATATAACATAATAAGTAGATGAATTTAAATATATAAACAATATGTAAATATGTGTGGCTATATTACTTATAAATGTGATAAAGAAGAAAAGTGTGATGTGTTATACTATATGCTTTTAAATGAGAGCCCATTTAGCATGATAAAGCCGATGAGCTGGGAGAACGTTAGAGGCATGTGAAGATAGACAGATCGTAATCTTTTTACATAATAAAAACCTCTTTCAACTATAAATCTATTGAGCCAACTAACGATTTTCCGCAGAATAGGGTACTCCTATAAATGATCAATCAGAGTCTTGCCACAGACGTCGAGCAAATTAATAGTCCATCAGGTAATTTGGCCTTACAAAATGTGAATTCTTATCAACAAATATTCTTAATGATTAATATACACATATAGATATTTAACTGAAAAAAAAAAAAACTATATATATAGATATTCCCAAGAAAACTGTACAATACTTTCTATTGTACTTATTGAACTTATTGAGTAACTTATTACCGAGAATATTTACATTTAGAAGTATATATATTAATACAAATATTATGCAAATAAGTACGCAGTAAAATTCAGCTTGACAACCCATAAAAAATATAAATAAAATAATAATAATAAACAAACGACACAATAACATTTTGTGGATAACAAGTGATAAGGCCAATATATATATATTTTTTTGGTGGGCTCTTCCTAGAAAGCATTTTCAGTTCTCAGTCTACTTCCAGCTTTTGCGCAGTCAATCAATGCTTCAGTGCTCGAATGCCCAGCGAAGCGCTCAAATGCGCGGGTTGACTTTAAAGGCGCGCCCGCAAGTATGCAACAGATTTGTGGTTTTGAGTGACAGCCTTTAAACGTGTGCCCACACACACACACACAACCTACTCAATTGTCGGCTGGTTTTTGTGTGTGTTTTCGTGTCGTTGACATGCCAAGAGGACCTCAACAATGTTGGCGTTACGTATACGCCCCCGTGAATGTTATGAAAACAAGAACGACACACAAACAAAAAAAAAAAAAAAAAAACAAAGGAAGCGCAAAGGAGCCGTCGGCTGGGGAATGTTTTCTTATATGCGGGGCACGCGTCAGTTAAAGCAAATCAACACATAACAATCTTGTACTCAAAATGCGTAAACAATGTGATAAGCAAAGAGAGAGCCACATCACAGTCGTTGGAGATGAGACGAAACGAGACGAGACGAGACGAGCAGTGTGAGAATTTGAGTTTATCATTTTGTTTTTTTTTTTTTTTTTTTTTTGTGTATTGATGTGGCTGTAAATCTCACTTGCAAGGGGTAAACAGTGCAAAAGTATGAAAGTGTGCCCGACACTGAGAACAACAACAACTACGGCAACACAAACAGCAACACCAACTTTGTGTGTTGTTAAGTTGTTTGTCTGTTTGTATATGTGCTTTGCGTCTTGTCATGTTGCGGATTGCCGACTAATCTCTGTCTAAATATCGCGTTCAGCATCATTTAGTATACACTAATCCTTGATTCAGGTACTTTCATTGGCGTATAAAGGTAGCGAGGGAAAAAATTGAAAATATTTTATATAAAATTGTAATTTAAATAAACATAAATATATAAGAGATTTTATAAGATAAAATTATATTGAAGCTGAAATAATTAAAAACCGATCCTACTTTTTCCTTATAAAATAATTTACATTCACTGTTAATGGCATAAGCCTTAATCAGCCAACTATGTTAACCTGCTCGCTAGAAAGCTGCCATATCAGAGGGCTAAACATTAACTAGCCTCCTTAAGATTTAAATTAGGCACAAGGTTAATTAAATAGCATTAAGAAACCTTTCTAAAAACAATAGAAAACCCCCAACCATCTTAATATATACTAAGCCTTTTTAACATTCAGCTCTTGGGTACTTACAGAATATGCAAATTTAATTTAATTAAAATTTTTAATTTTAATTTAATTTAATTAAACAAAAAAGTTAAAAAATATTTACTACTTGATGAAACATTAAAGGATTCAGTTTCAGTTAATTATAATTATAAATCTTGAGGTGATATTGAATCCCTTAACACTTTCTAATCGACATCTGAAAATGCTATAAAAATAACTAAAAA